GAGGGAGGAGGAGGAGGTTTTTGTTTGAAGGGGGCGGGGTCGTCCTTTGTAGTGGTGATGATAAGAAAGCAATTCAAGGTATGAGGGAGGTGGAAAGGGAGAGTTCACTCAATTGAAGACCAGAAATGAAGAGGAAGTAGTGGGGAACAGGAGGAAGAAAATGCAGAGTAAAGGAAGGAGCGGTGGTGGTGGGCGAGGAGGAAGACGTTGAGGGAGGGGAGAGAAGGGGGCAGGAGGAGGGAGCAGCATCGATTTGACTCGTGGGATTCGGTGGAGGTGAAATTTGATGCATCAGGCGATCAATGGAAACCCCGACAACGATCTTGCGCTGGACTGCATGACGAACTGGCTGGAGGTCTTCAGCGGCAACGTCAGTGAGATCAGTGAGGGAAGTTGAGAGGAAGAGATCTGTTGTGACCTGTTGGTCAAGGTAATCTATGCGAGACTGCTCTCACGAACCGTCCTCAGAATCCAGACGTTCTCTTCGCTCAGGTAGAGAGACGTTCGCTCTCTGCCCCCTGTCTGACTGTCTTTCTCTCTCATTGCAATTGGCTGCGAAGGCAACATCGCTGCAGACTGTCTTTCAAGATTATGATCGGGCGTGCGAGCTGCTTCAGAGCAGTTTAGCTTTAGCGCCTTCAAGTCACCAGATGTAGTGAGAAAATGTGCCGTTGTTGCTTGTTGGCAGCAATCTCAACTCTTGAGATGACATGGAGTGCGATGTGATGTTGTGGGCTATTCCATGATACAATATGATGTGATACGATACGATATGATACGATATGATGTGATACAATACGATATGATACGATATGATGTGATATGATACAATATGACGTGATACGATACAATATGATACGATATGATGTGGAATGGCACGATATGATGTGAATTGATATATCATATCAGAAATGAGATGATGTGAGATGAAATGATGTGAGATGAAATTGGATGACATCTGACACCAACCCTGCAGTCTGGCCTACTCAGTCAATTGCATGCGCAGAGAGCAGTACGAAGACGCGGAACGCAGCCTAAGAGCAGCAGCTCGACTAGCCCCCAGCGATCCTTTCGTTGAGATCTGCAGATCCAAGGTACAGCACGAGCCGCTGGGGAAACGCCTGAAATTTCAGCAGCTCCACTACAAGAAGTACAAGGATGTAAAGGAATCGCTGACCCTGGCTCTCCGCTCTCTCAGTCTGGATCCCACCAACCTTCTGCTCGTCAACATAGTCGCTGGCCAGTGCGTTGAGTTGGGGGAGTACCAGCAGGCAAAGAATCTTGTCAAGTATGTGAATGTCAGGCTGAGAATGTAGCTGACTAACGCTTCTGTATTCCTCCTCTCCATTTTCTCCTTCGCTTTTCTCCTCTCCCCTCCCTCCCTCCCTCCCTCCCAACCTCCCTTCCTTCCTCTCTCCTGTCTCCTTGCAGAGAGGCCGTCTGGCTAGATCCGAGCGACGAACTGACGGTGGAGACGTTTGCGCATGTCGCGCTGTCAAACTGGGAGGAGGAGAAACGAGAAGATTGTTTCAAGTTCCTGTATGAGGTTGTGCGAGATGATCCCACCAACCCCAGGAAGCTGATCGCTTACTCCAAGTTCTTGGAGGTCAGCCGAGCATCTCCTCTCCTTTCGTCCTTTCCTCCCTCCTCCCTCCTCCCTCCTCCCTCCTCCCTCCTCCCTCCTGCATTCTCTCCTCTCCCTACTTTTCACTCCATCTCTGTCCTCCCTCCTCGTGTGTCCACCCTCGATCTGCTCAATCCCTCCAGCTCAACTTTAACCTCCTCCATCTTTCCTTCATCGTCGGCATTGTTCCTCTGCCATACCTGAGCTTCACATCGAGCGTTCCTTCCCCTCTCGTCCTTTCGCTCCTCCTCCTCTCATGACTGGATGCAGAAACATCTTCCGGGCCTTGCAGTGGAGGACAGGGAACCTCTCATGGAGGAGGCAGGAACTTGGCTCTACGAACTCTTGCAAGAGAGGAGGAGCGACGCTTACTTCCTGTACCACTATGCTTCCGTGAGTGAATACCCAGCCCTTCCTCCCTCCCTCCTCCTTCGTCTGCTCCCTCCTCTCTTCCCTTCTCTCCTCTCGCCTTGCTCCCTCGCTCGAATCTCCTCTTGCCTCGATTCTGCTTCTAACTCTGTCGTTTCCTCCCTCCTCCTCTTCTTCCCCTCGCTCATCTCCCTCCTTCTCTTCTCCCCTCCCTTTCCAACCCCTCTCCCTCTCCCCTCCTCCTTCTCCTCCTGATCCTCCTCCTCCTCCTCCTCCCCTCTTCCTCCTCCTCCTCCCCTCTTCCTCCTCCTCCTCACCAATTCTCTCTCGCAGTTTCTGGTTGGTCCTCTCTACGACCTGGAGGAATCACCGGGAAAGCACATGCTCGACTCTCGGCGAGCAGGAGAGATGTATCGTTGTGCCATCGCACTTTGCCCGCAGCACGGGTGAGGAACTGAGCAGGAGCAGGAGCAGAAGCAGAAGCAGGAGCAGGGAGGGATGAGAGCAGGAGCAGGCGGTGGTACCAACGAAAGATGATCGGGGGAGGAGAGCAAGCAAATGACGATTAGAGTGAGAATGAGAGGGGAGGATCGAAGTAGTCCATGACGAGGTGGTTTGGATGGCGACGAGAGTGAAGAAGGGAGGAGAGTGTACGGGAGGAGCGGGAGACAAAGGCAGGAGGGCAGGAGGGCAGGAGGAGAGGAGAAGTGAGTTTGAGTTGGCAGCGAGTATCACTTCGGGTATGCCAAGTACCTTCATGAGATCACTAGGGACTACGAGCAGTCGCAGAAGGAATATTTGACGTGAGTAGCTCTCCTTCCTTACTTTGATTGCTCTCCCTATCGCTCTCCGTTCCCCCCCCTCCTTCTCCTCCGCTTCAGCCTCAGCCTCTCTTCCTCCTTTTCCTCCCTTCCTCCTCCTCTCCCTGTGCTCTTACACAAGCTTCTGCCACATGTCTTCTGTACGTGTCCTAATCTTCATTTTCGTTCTGCGCGTCATTTACTTCCTTCTTGCGTCCCTCTCTCACTTTTTCCTCTTTTCGTCTCATACTCACATCTGCTCTCCAGTGCTCTAAAGTTCGATCCCAACAACGGACTTTATCACCTCCGGTAAGTTTTCTCGCTCCCCCTCTCCTCCTCCTACCCCTCCTACTCCTCCTCCCCCTCCTTCTCCTCCTCCCCCTCCGGCTTCCTCCCTCCTCTCTCCTCTCTCACCTCCCTCGCCCTCTCCGTCTTCCTGCTTACCTTCCACTCCTCTCTCTCCCCCTCTTCCACTGTTTCTTTCTCCCTCTTCCTCGCCCCCCTGTCTCTGCTCACACTTCTCGTCAGGTACGCGATGCTCCTTCACCATCACATGCGGGACCTTCGAAGGGCAGAGGAGGAGTACGTCATTCACCTCCGCCAGTGTCCCCTCGACGTCCTCGCGCTCGTCAACTACGGGATCCTCCTGTGCAACGGGCTAGAACGTTTCTCCTCTGCGAAAAGGTGAGAGGAGGAGGGGAAGGGCGAGGAAGAGGAGGAAGAGATTGGTAGGTGCATTGGGGGTTGACAACGGGCAAGAGCAGGGGAGAGAAGTAGGAGGGGGAACGAAGGGACGAGGAGGACAAAGGGGAAAAAGGATGAGAATGGACCAGAGGACGAGGGCGAGGGCGAGGGCGAGGGCGAGGGCGAGGGTACTGGGAGCTGATTCACATGCTCAGGATCCTTCAGAGGGCTGTGCAGCTGAGCCCGGACAACACTGACGCCCAGCTGTACCTCAACTTCTCTATCGCCATGGAGAACGACATACCAGCACTTCCTGAGAGCCGAAGGAAGGAAGACGCGGCAGGTTGAGAGAGGAGACGCTCTGCTGAGGTACAGGAATGATCGAGAGCTGTAAAGGATGAGGAGGGGATCAGGTAGGAAAGAAGCTGGGGGGGGGAGGGTGTCAAGTTTTGGTATGATTGAATGAATAGGTTTATCGATTCTCAGGCACCGTTCGGTTCTTCGCCTGGTGAGAACGAGGATGAAACAAAATCTCTCCGGCATGTAGCCGGGTGAAAAAATGCGCGTGATCCGTGGTACCCTGTTGGGAGCGAGCAGTGAGTGGTAGGAGGAGGAGAAGACGGACAGGGGGGGGAGAAGAGGAGAGTAGGAGACAGAAAGGGTTGTTGTAGCAGAGAACGAGGAAAAAGGAGGAGGGTGAGAGGAGGGGAGGAAGAAAGCAAAACAAGGAAGAGGACAGGAGGAAGGCAAGTAGCATGCAAGCTTTGAACACCAGCTTCAGGAGGGGGAAGGAAAGTGGATCTTTGAGAGCAGCAGGAGCAGAGGGGAGGGCAGAAGCTTGATGGGAAGGAGAAGACGAGGAGGAGACGCGTGGGCAGGTCGTTCACTTACCGCGCTCCATTCCCCCCCATTGACTGGCCTCTTGGTCACAGGGTTCATGACCTGCACGTTCCAGTTGTTGTCCACCCCCTTCTTGTGCCCCGCACTGTTGCCGTCGGATGCTGCGAACAATCGGTCACTTCCCCATTCGAACAGACCTCCTCCTCCTCCTCC